TTAAATTTTTGTCGCAGCGACTCTTTAGGCTTTAAATCATAAATTGCTCTTATGGCCCTCTTCTGCAAAACAAATATAATTTCAGTGTCAGCTGCGTGTCCCCATAGCAAAATACCATACGACATTATGCTATGGAAGTAGCTGAAGTAAACTAGTCTAGCTGTTTCAACACTGGTTAGACTTCTAATCTTTTTTACAGCATATGCTGCAGAACTAAGTCTGCTTGCTAGTTTTGATATATGGGGGCTCCATTGAAGCTTCGCGTCTAGTGTGATTCCAAGAAAAATGGTGGTATCTACAAGACTGAGTTTCTCCCCATTTAAAATTACATTAGTATTTAATTGTTTGACATTTGGAGTCACGAATTTCATACATTTTGTTTTAGTGCCATTTAAATGCAAATTATTAACATCGAACCAAATTACTAATTTAGATATAGCATTATTTACTTCGTCATATTTTAGTAACTGTCGACTTAATTTGAAAATTAAAGAAGTGTTATCTGCAAATAATACTATATCATGGTTATACCCCTACTATGTAAGGTAAGTCATTAATGTATACAAGAAACAGAAAGGGGCCGAGAATTGAGCCTTGAGGCACGCCCATTTGTACCATCGATCCGGAAGAGCTCATATTGTTAATGACAACTTTTTGCAATCTCTTACTTAAATATGAAATAATTAATTTAAGGGCATCACTTCTTACACCGTAGTGTTGAAGTTTCCTGATTAATGTTTCATGGTGAACACAATCGAAGGCCTTGGATAGGTCACAAAATATACCCAAAGCATCCTGTGAATTCTCCCATGCATTAAAGATATATTTAATCATCTCAACACCGGCATCAGTTGTCGAGCGACCCCTTGTGAAACCAAATTGATTTTTATGAAGTAAATTATTTATATTAAAAAAAATTAACATTTGATCAAGAACAATTTTTTCAAAAATCTTACTAAGTGTTGGTAGTACAGAAATAGGTCTAAAATTGGCGGGGTCTAATGTACTACCAGATTTAAATAAAGGTATTACTTTACTATGCTTCATTAAATCAGGAAACACACCAGATTCGATACTAGTATTAAAAATAATAGCTAAATGAGGCGCTATTGTATCTATTATAGACGCAATAACTTTAACGGAAATCCCCCACAGATCCGCAGTTTTCTTAACATCAATAGTTTTAAAATATTTTACAATATCTTTTGATGACACTTTATGAAATGTAAAATTTTTTGTACACACATTTACATTTTGTTTAAGTAATGATTCGGCGACGGCAGGAGAAGAACTCAGTGACTTAGTGGTCAAGATCGGAATATCAGTAAAATATATCTCAAAAACCATTGCTACGTCCTGATCTGATACAGTTAATTTGTTGTTAACACTTAACTGGTAATTTGAATTGCGAGAGTTGATCTTACCAGTTTCGCTATTAATTATACTCCATGTCATTTTAATTTTATTGGAAGCCGTCTTAATTTTGTTGCTCAAATGCAAAGACTTGGCTATGGAGCACACTCTTTTAAATATTTTTGAATATTTTTTTACATATTCCCTAAATTCGACGCTATGATTATATGACCTTTCATGGTAAAGATCATATAACCTATGCCTGCTCTTATGGACTCCTACTGTCGCCCATTCATTGAATGACTTCCGACTGTTCAAGGAGAATGTTTTAGAAGTAAAACATTCTCCTTGAAGTTTAGATTCTTAGCACCCCCTGCCCCGCCGTTACCATGGTCGCCACCGTAGCCAGGAATAGCGGGCCGCCGGGGACTGGGGGCTGTCTCTTCGTAACTTTCATCATGGGGAGTATATTGCCATAGTTGCCACGCTTGGCGAGCGGGTTGGCAACCGCAGTTTTTATTGTATTTTTGCCGTTTCAAGAAAGATGCTGCTGCCCATCTCCTGCCTGTTTCCCTTTGTCGCCTTTTACGACACCCACGGGAAGATATGGGGTAGTGGATATTCTTAACCGCCACTACACAGCAAAGATAGTTTTGCCCAATTAATAAGCCACTCACTCTTGAAAGGCTGCCTCACCATCTTACGAAACATCTTAGTATAGCTCCATCATCATCGCGACATTTGGCCTTGTCGCTGGGGCTCTCCCAGCAGGTACAAAAAGAGACTATGTTAACTGATGTGGATGCACACTTAGCTAACTGCCTCGACCTTCTACTGACGACCGATCCAGATAGGTACGATGTTCAGGTTAACTCACCCTTGAGAATTTCTGACCGCTGTCTGGTAAAATCTGTGTGTTTATTTTCCCCACCTAACTACGATTTCCATGGTGTGCGGCGAGTGTGGCAATACAAGTCAGCAGATTGGGATGAGATGCAACATTTCCTTGTATCTTATCCTTAGCGGCAGCTGTGCTTCTCGTCTGAAGACCCGTCGAGTTGCGTGGATGCCATAGCCGATGTGATAAGTCAAACGATGGAGTATTTCACCTTTGCTGACGTGCCCTTGGTGATAAAGCTCACCTATAGTTCAACGCCGAATGTGTCTGTGCTGAAAAGTACAAGGATATGGCGCATTTATTCTGAGTTAATGCTCGAGACCGCAATGCTCTGGATATTAGATATAAGAGGAGAGCAATACGGTAAGCCAGTTTTGACCTCATTAAACACAGTGGTGTAAAGCTCTCTGCCAAGCCATCTGGTAGAAGAGCTTTTTGGGTTTTTTTTACTACTACTTTTTTGCAGTACTCTTTCTTCTGTTATGTTTTCGCTATATAATTTAATATCTCTTTTTTTGTATGTTTTTTTTGTTTTTTTTTTTGTATTTTATGTTTTTTTTCCGTACTGCCGGGTTTTGTTTTTTTTTCTGCTACATGTGCATGTACAATTACAATATCTTTATAACTACTTCATGTTAATGAGGTCTTACTCTAACAATGGCTACTTATTTCATTTTCTACTTTATTATTTATTACTAACTGTATAATCTAATATATTATTCTATTTCTTTCTACTTATTTCTATATGACTAATATAATGCTATGTTGGTTACAATTTTGTTGCTTTTTATTACTAATTATTAAAATACGTAGTAATATTTGTTTTAAGCTAAATATTTATATGTTTATATATTATTCGGTATTTGTTATTTTTATATTACTATAGTGCTGTTATTTACAGGTTTGTTTCTTATCGAACTATTTATTACATTGCGGTTTTTTTCTATTTATATATATATATATATATATATATATATATATATATATATATATATATATATATATATATATACACATACATATATATATATATATATATATATACTTGGGTTTTTTCTATTTATAAGTATAAACTTAGGGTTGTATACTACTTAGTTACATTTCTTTAGTTTAATGAACCTGTTTTTTTTTCCTTTTTTTATACATTCGTAAATTGCTATGTTTTTATCTATAAGTTATTAAATAATTAATCTATAATTTTCTACCATTTTCTTTACTTATGCTTTTTAATGCCAAAAGGGCAAACTTCATAAAGATAGGTCGGCAATAGTCATCTTCTATAATAAATTTTAAGTTTTCTGCTACTATCTCCACACCCATGCTGCACTCGGTCTCGAATCTTCTTTTCCCAAAACGTGGGCAATCAATGACAATGTGCTCTACAGTTTGGTCTGCATTTTCATCGCATATGCAGCATGGGGATGAGGATAATTTATACTTATACAAATAGGCTTTGTTTCCACCATGACCGGTAAACCAGTGTGTAACTAAGTTATTCATTTTTATTCTTTTTAATATCTTATAGGCTTTAACAATATTTGGAAAGAACTTTTTCGTTATACTACTGGTTGTTGCCTGTTCGTACTTCCTTTGCCATATTTGCAGAGTCGTATTTATGGTGAGAAGCTTTGCATACGACAATGGGAATTTATGATAAGCCGGGCTTTGCTTATTTTTTATAGCTGCCTGCTTAGCAAGTTCTCTGCTCTTTCGTTGCCTTGTATTCCGCAGTGTGCTTTAATCCAATAAAGCTCGACTTGCTTTCGGTTGTCTTCTAAAGTCTTGATCATTGTTCGTATTTCTGATGCTATTGGATTAAGAGACACTGGGTCACAGATAATGGTAAATGCCGATCTAGAGTCGCTAATTATGTTTGCACCTGGATATTTTTTGCTTATTATATATTTTAGCGCTATTTATATTGCCATCATCTCCGCTTGGTAAATACTGCAGTAGCTCTCCAGTCTGAGAGTTATTGTTTTAATTTCGAGTCCATTGTGCCAAACTGTTACTGCTGCGCCCACTTTTCCGTCGATCTTGCTTCCATCGTTGAAGATTCTAACCCAGTCGTTTTTTATCTCGTCAATATCTTTCTGGTTATTTACGTGTTTGAAGTTACGTTGTATTCTTTCGCAAGGATGTGGGAGATCATAGGGGCTTATTCTTGTTTCGATTTCTCTTCCTGGTAAGAGCTCTATAGATTTGCTTCTCTTAATTTCATATATACTAGCGTTCTCTTTGGCTCTTAGCGCTAGCGGTATTATTTGTAATAAGAGTGTGCTGGAGATCAGGGAGTTAGTCTTATGTCCTTTACTAATTCGTATACCAAAATTCTGGGTCATTCTGTTGAGTATGCGTTCAATATACTTTTTTTCTGTTGTTTCGGCCCAGCAGCTGGCAGCATACAATATGGTTGGTTCTACGACTGCCATGTAGATTGTTCTCAATATCTCTGAGTTCAGGCGCCAGTTAGCCCTCGCTGCTCTTGAGACCATTTTGTAAATATTAATAGCCTTGCGACAAACATTATCCAGATGGGGCTTGAAATTTATATTTTGGTCTATTGTTAAGCCCGGAATTTTCAGTTGATCCAAGTATTGTAGTTCTACTTCTTCCATTTTTGGCAAAGGCCGATGAAATTTTTGTTTCCTTGTTATTATCACCGACTGAGTTTTATGGGGAGCAAATCTTAATTTATGTTTTTTGCCCCATTCTGTTATTATTTTAAGAGTGTGGTTTAAGGTTTCCTCTAGTTTTGTCCATCTTGGTTACTGGCGATAATCAAGATATCGTCTGCAATGGCTTGTACATGGGCTTGTGTGTTCTCCGTTGTTTGCAATAATGGATCGAGTAGAGTATTCCAGAACATGGGTCCACATGTAGAGCCTTGGATGCAACCTCTATTTGTCGATTTATTAATTTCTTGTCCAGCGTACTTGAGGTGTATTTCTCTTTCCGACAAGTAGCTATTTATGAGCTTTAACATAGACGCGTCAACATTTTTGGAGTGAAGCTCATTGATAATGTCTGGCCACCAGGCATTGTCAAACGCGCCTTCTATTTCCAACGACACCAGTACAACAATGGATTTCTCTTTTAGTCCTTTTTTTATTAGCGCCATAGTGTCGTATAGGGCATCTTCGGTACTTTTTTGGGGTGTCTGTGGTTCATTTTATTATCTTTTCCTAGCTGCCACTGGACACGGTTGATAAATAATTTTTCTAGTATTTTACCCAACACAGGTAATAGGCTAATTGGTCTCTATGCCTTCGGTTGAGTGTAGTCCTCTTTATTTGGTTTGGGAATAATCTTTATAGTAGCATTTTTCCATAATTTTGGAAAATGACCTATTATTAGGCATTTATTATAAATAGATTGGAGTACTTCAGGGTTGCTCTCAAACGCAGCTTAGCAAATGTCCGATGTTAGTCCATCTGCTCCAGGAGCTTTCTTTGGGTTTATGTTCCTAAGAATTTGTTCAATTTCATTTTGAGTGAATAAATTTGGGGTAGGGATATGTTCGTTATTGATTTTATTTATAATATTTTGCGTGTTATTTCTCATCTCGGCGTGCTCTTCATTGTCCATGTCCGGGTTGTCCTCTGGATAAAACGTATTAGCAAGGTATTTAGCTGATTCTATCTCTGAAAGAATTCGGCCACTGGAGTTCCGAAGCAGTTTGTCCTCTTCTCTATTTGAGCATATTTTTAAGATTCGGTATGTTCTTTACCACATAGATTCCTTTTCCTCATTATTGCAAAGATTCACCCAGCTTATAGTTGTGGCGTTTTCAATAGCGTTTATATAGTCACGTCTCGCTTCCAAATATAGTTCTACTACATGTTTTTTTCTCCCAGGGTGTGCGTTTTTTATCCTTCGTTTTTTCCTGATCATGATTACCTTTTTTTCTTGTATTTCTTTGTTCCACCAAGGAGCTATTTTTGTTTTCCGTTCCTGTTTAATAAGAGGTATGCTGTTATTGCAAGCTGCCAGTATACATTGTGTGTATTTGTTAATAATATCTTCTAGCTCTTGATGTGATTTGATTTCTTCAATTTTATTTTTTACAATATTTTGTTTTTGCAGTTCGGCTTTTAAATCGTTCTTTAGTTTTTCCCAATTCGCTATTTTAGTATTATATATTTTGGTATCCCTAGTGGTAATTTCAGTTTTAATGTTTCCTGTATGTAAGTTAAATAATATTGCTTTATGGTTTGAGATTGTGCAGAGTTGGTCATCTACTCTCCAGTCTTTTATTCGGTGTAGTAATGATGACGAGCAGGCTGTGACGTCAATTATGCTAGTGCATAATTTTCGTAATCTATGAGCGAAATTTAAGATGTCTAAGTTTAGCTCAGCTAACGTTTCGATGATAGTTTTTCCTCTGTTGTCGTGGGCATCGCAACCCCACCAGATGCTACGTGCGTTGGCATCTCCTCCAATAATGATGTCATTGGTGTTCATATTTGCTACGTAGTTTTTGATTGTTTGTAGATCTTCTTCAAGGTCTGTATTTATATATTTTCGTGAAGATACATACTAATTAAGCCAATATTAGAATAATTAATTTTAAGTTCAATACCAACTATTTCTTCAGAAAGAAGATTAGGATTTACAGTGAATTGAATTTTTGGATCACAGACAACAATTGCCGACCTAACTGGTTTATTTCTATCATTTGTTACCTTTTGAATAATGCGGTATTGGGAACCTGCTGATAGATGAGCTTTAACACCAACATATGGTTCTTGCATTAAGATAATTGCATAACCCTGCATCGCAGCTGCACGTAGGCACTCAAGTGTCGCCGCGCGTCTGCGATCCAGGTTGACTTGCATTACTTTTATGATTTGCTTTGAGTCAGAGGGACTCTTATTCTTTAAGTTTGCGCTGTCGTTGTCTGTCTCTTAGCAGTATGAAATAGACGATCTTGCAATACTGTCCCATTTCTGCCATTCTTGGCATTCTGGACTGTATGCTGGGTGCAAAATATCATTTCGTTTTGCTTTTATGCAATTGCAACATTTGGGAACACTGTTGCGGTTTTGGCATTCTCTTGTGTCATGCCCCTCAGCACAGTATCCACAACAAAGACTATTGCGACCATCTTTAGCTTTGTGGTTAAAGCTCAGACACTTGTAACATTGTGTCAATGGTGATTGGTCAACACATGAGACAACTTGATAGCGTATTCGCAACTTTTGGTTTTTCAAGTTGTTCCATATTTGAGGTGAAACCTCCAGTATGACATTGATCACTTCTCTAGTTCTTCCCTTAGCCCTACGTAGGACCTTAACGGCTTTTTAGTCCTCTGTTAATCCTTTTATTAACTAAATTATTTTTATTATAGCTTTTTGGGTTCTCGCCAAAGCGATCGAGATAAATTGCCTGTATACTTTGCCTCCGCTAGTAAAACCAGATGACTAACTGGCGCATGCGGCTAAGGAGAAAGTGGACTTATTTGCTAGTGTTTTTGAGACAATAGCAACAGTGTAACCTCAATTACCTCACTGCGGTACCTCTATGTCGGAGGTTTGAATCACTAACAAGCAGGTTCTTAAAACTTTGCGGAATTTAGACGTGGACAAAACCAGAGAACCAGATGCATACTTGCTATAATTCTAACGGCCTGTGCGCCTGCGTATGTCTCCTGTGTTGACTGTCGGACTGAAATAGTGCACAAATATTGGTAACTAGCCAATGTGTAGCATGTGGCTAAAAAGGGCCGTGCCGACCCTGCCAACTATCGACCAATTTCAATTACCCCCTTACACTAAAAGATTTTAGAGAGTATATTAAATGCCCGTGGCTTATCTAAAACAGAATGACCACCTGTACGATTAACCGCCAGTATGAGTTTTGAACCCCTTGAAACCAATGGAGAAGCACTTACTTTTTCCCTTAATGTCTCAAAGCCTTTGACAGGGTTTAGTAGTTTAGTCCATCCGTACCCTGGAAGTTTGCCCAAAAGGCTAGTCCAGGGTACGGCGTATCCCCGGGCCTGACTGACTGGGTGAAGGACTTTATAAGTAAATAATGTCTCCGAGTCGGCGTCAATGGCTGCTCGTCCAATCCTGTCCGTTCGAGGGGTCCGTTCTCCCCGCAACTTGCCTCCTGCTGCATATTAATAATCTGTTTATGCTTGGTATCTAGGGGTATGCTAGACGACAGTACATTCGTGGAGAGGTTCCAGCCGAATGGTCGTGCCAGTGGGAATCAAATGTAGTTCAAAAGAGAAGCAATGAATGAACGTGCTAATTTCTTACTGAAGGCAGTTTTTGAATAGGATGACGCCAATCTTGTGAGATTCAGTGCCGTCACAACACAAGCATAACTTTTCACTGCTAAAAGGAGCCCGCTCACCCTGGCTCCGACTATTCGGCATGTATCTTTAGAGTACACTAACGCCTTCAGTTGTTATGGGTTGAGATTTCCTCGAACCTCAACTATGGGTGGTTCACTGAGTCCAAGGCCAAAGCATCCGCAAACTACTGAACTGATTTCAATGATATTTGCACACTCTCTGCAGTTTCGTCCAACTTGAGAGATAGGATAGTTTTTATCCTGATATGTGACACTCAATATTTTTTATTACGAATTTAAGGATTTTTTATATGAAGGGTCGTCAAAAAGGGCAAAACAACGTCTTCCTTGTCAGCTAGTATATATATATATATATATATATATATAATTCTTCTGTTCGTGTGTATGTAACTGAACTCCACCTAAAGGGCAGGACCGAATTTGATGAAATTTTGTGTGTGTGTGATTAAATTGATTTGACTGTTTAGATTCACAATAGACCCGGTAGGTGGCGCTGTAGACGAAATCCAGAAATCACCCGTGCGAAGCAGGGGCAGATTGCTAGTATGTAATAAGATATCGATAACCGCATCTAAATCGGTCGAGCCGACGCGAAGAAAAAATTCGCTACAATTCAATTTAATAAGTGAATTTTTTGTATTGAAGCGCCCCCTGGCAAGCTAACACCATAACACCTATCTAAGAACTATCGCCAATGAGTCACAAACTCTATACAGAAAACCGCATCGAAATTTGTCAAACTGTTTTCGAGATAAATGCGAACAATCGTTTCCAAACAAAATATTTTTGCAGCGCCCCCTGGTGAGATAATACCATAAAATCTATCTAAGAACTATCGCCAATGAGCCACAAACCTTTTACAGGAAACCGTATCGAAATCGGTCAAAACGTTTTGGAGATAAATGGGAACATTCGTTTACACCCTAAATGTTCATTGCAGCGCGCCCTGGCGAGCTAACACCATAACATTTACCTAAGAACCATCGCTGATGAGTCACAAACCTTTTGCCGAAAACCGTACTGAAATCGGTTAAGCCGTTTTGGAGATAAATGGGAACATTCGTTTGCGCACACATACAAACAAACAACCTCTCACCCTAAACGCATACACCTTCTCCGTTCCGTCGCGGGTAAAAATTACTTGATTAATGTTATTGGTTTATATATTATAATTTCCTATACTAGATTGTATGTATTTTTGTTGCTATAGTATGTATATTTATTTATATGTATATATATACATTTGTATATATGTGTGTATAAGAAGTGTAAATATGTATAAAGGAACATATTTATATTATATTTTTCGAATAATATGTGAAAATAAGTTAGTTTCTCTGTTGCGGCTATACCCATAGATCTCACAACACTACCAAAGGTTAGCTGGCAGAGAATGCCTTTTCGGCATTAAGTTCGCATTTGTACCAAATGTTTGTTTGTTTGAGTGCAATAAAGATTTTTCTATCTATCTAACTATCTAGAAAAAAAATGATTAGCAAATAACGCACCTACGTTAGGAAAGTTGGGAATTTATCATAAAGAACTATAGAGCTATATATGTATATAAGATTGTTAAAACAAACGAATGAGCATTTTATAAACAAACCTTTTCTTTTAAAAACGTATTTAAAATTTTAGTTAAGTTAGTCATAATATTTTGGTTGTAATTTTATTGATACCATGAAAACATTCAAAATGAAATATAAAATTTATTCGAAGAAAATTATAAAATAAAATCGTAGTCAATTAACATCATAGTTATCTCGACATAATTTTATAACACAAGAGGCAAAAAAT